AACCCACCCCAGCGCGACCCGACCATCGACTTTCCCTCGCAGATCCTCCTGGGCTCGTGGTAGATCTCCAATGTCATCTCGAACTCGGATGGCTTTGCTCAGGCTTGGGGGCTTTTTTAAGGCTTTAAAGTACGGTTTAGGGTTTAGGGTTTTTAGGGCTTTTAAGTACTAGGGTGTCTGCGGTTTAAGCGGCGCTAGAAACGGCCCCATAATATGTTCTATACAGGGTTAGGGTTCAGGTTTGATAGGGTTTTGGGGGTTTAGCATGTAGGAATTGGGGTGCCTGGCACGTTTTTTAGCGAAGCTGGACTGCAACAGGAAGTGCCAAACACCACTGATGAGCAAACTTAGAATGCCAAGATGCGTCCACTGTAACGATAAACAACAATGAACAACCACAGCTGCCTCCACAGTTTTACAAAGTTAAACCAGGATGTCTGAGCAGGCTTGAGGCAGGATGCGACTCTTCACACTGGACACTGGGCCTATCCCAGCCAACACCTCCAGGTTGACGTCCAGAGCTTTCGTGGATGATGGCATGTGCCGCCTGGTGGCAACCTTATCCGCGATGAAGTGCAAGCGGGAGGTGGACTGCTTGAAATGGTCCTGACCTCGTCATGACGGATGCAGCAGGATCTACCGAAGAAAATCCGAAGCTTCATGCCCTAATTACATCTCTAGCCTCCGACCACACAAAGCCCACATTCAATAGGCCTGAAACTGTACCTCCGGCTTTATGCCCTCAAGAAGGCTTCCCAACATGGGTCGTTTCTAAGGGCCGCTGTTTTTGGAAGTATTGAGGCCCTCGTTGCAAGAAAGATCAGCTTTTGGCGGGTTTAGGTCGGGGTCTCCGTGGAAGCTTCCTTGGAGACTTCAGACAACCCTCCCTGCATTCTAGGGTGTATTTTTCAAGCTTCGGATTTCAACTAGTGGGGTAAGAGACCATCTGCAGCTTTCCACCCCTGCGCGAACAAGTCCAAAGCTACTGTGCCGGTTTTCGTCACACGTGGCTATAAACCTCAGATCCTCCAGGACGACGCTTCGCGACACGCATCAAACTCTCAGCCAAGCCAACGCGCTATGTATTGGGGGGCTGGCCTCCACTCAAGGTGTACAGGGTTTTGGGGGTGGCAACATCCCGAAAGCCAGACCCGCTACTAAACTCTTAGCCCTTCAATAGTCCCGCAATGAAACCCGCATGGCCACGTACACCAAGCTGCAAACCTTCAGACAATCTGCTGGCCCTAGAAGCTTCAAAACCGACAGCCCGCAACACCTAAACACACTTAGGGGGTTTTGGTTTTGGGTTTAGGGTTTAGGGTTTAAGGTTTAGGATTCACGCACAAAAACCAATGTACACAACATGACCCACATCTCATAACAGCACCAAACTGACGATGCGAGTACCACCCCCCGAGGGCTCCAGTAACCTACACAATGGGTTACTACATAATATACCTTAAGAACCCCAAACCCACTTTTTTGTAGGTTCTTATTATAAACCCTAATATGGAATTTTTAGGGACCCTACAAAAAAGTAGGTTTTTGTTGGTTAAGGTATATGTATCTAGGCAACTGGAGCCCTAGGAAAGAGGAAACTCTGCAAACATCCCTGGGAGCTAGGATTAGGGGGACCCTTGGGGATATAGACCCTCTCAATAAGGTGCCCTTTAAGAGAGCCAAAAGTAGGGTTCAGAAGGGGTACCCTTTAAGGGGTACCCCTAATAATGCTACCTATCCCATGACCGACATCCCTAAACCCTAAACCCTAAACCCTAAACCCTAGACCCTAGACCCTAAACCCTAAACCCTAAACCCTAATAGTGCTACCTATCCCATGACCGCCTGCAGGGGCTACTTGGAAGAACCGCTCGTAGACTTGGCTTCGGAGCTTGGTCTGTGCCTGGAGGAGAAGGTTGAATGGTTTAGGGCTTAGGTTTGGGTGGGTTAGGGTGTAGTGTTTGAGGTCTAGAGTTTAGTTTGGGGTTTAGACTTTAGGGTTTAGACTTTAATTTAGCAGTCTGGGTGCAGGGTTTAGGGCAGAGAAGTTTTAGAGTTGCTCCAGGCCCGGATAAAGCGTATTTCTTCGCTTTCCCTTGTGGCCCCCCAGTGTAAGAGTGATCTCAAGGGTCTAGATTTTGCGGTGCTAGGCCCAAACCCTAAACCCTAAACCCTAAACCCTGCTAGGGCTTTAGGGAAGCAAACATTTTAGGGCTTTGCAGGCTCCAGAGGCTGAATAGGGCTTTCGGGGAAAACTCTGCTGTAATTGATGGAACAATATAGGTGAAGGCCCCTCACTAACATAGGGGCCTTAACAAATTCGAATAGGGCTTTGGGGCCCATCATACTTTATTTAGAATAAGGAACCCCCCCAGAATCACATTGGTAATTCTGTAGGCCCCGACAGTAGGGTGTTGAGGCTATAATGGGTTGCCAATCTCGGACTTTGCGGCTTAGTTGTTTTACGGGCTAGTCACTGGCGGCCTACGGTCGGCGGGTGTTCCCTCAACCCTGAACCCTTGGCCCTATAGGGTTTAGGGTTTAGGGTTTAGGGTTTCTATGGCCGTATAAACCATAAAAGCCTGCAAAGCCTTGGCCCCACAAGCCATAAAACCCTTGGCCCTATGAACCATAAAACCCTTGGCCCTATAAGCCCTAAACCCCAAAACTCTAAACCCTAAACCCCTAAACCCTAAACCCCTAAACCCTACAAGCCCAGAACCTTCAATGCTGCCTCGTCGGTGAGGCTTCGGATGAATCGCTCGAGGCTTCGTGCCTCGACAGAGCTCTCGGTGGATCGGGCGCTGCGAAGGGTGAATGGCTATTGGTTTTGTTTTTTGGCTTGGGGCTTAGGGCTTCATGTTCACGGCTTGCAGTTGACGGTTTGGGGCTTTAGGGTTTTTATTGGGGGGTCTGGGGCTCTTACGCTTTTCTTGACTCTTCCTCGAAGGCATTTCGGGTTCAATAGCCTTTAGAGCTATATGGGTACATTGCTTATGTACCCTAAACCCTAAATCCTAAACCTATGTACGGGATTATCACGGGAGGACGGCTGTTCATAATCACGTGGGGTGGAGGCCCTTGCACCTCCCGGTCGTAAGCAGGGCACGAGTCCAAATATCTCCATAGAGGTATACAGATACATACAAACGTACGCTCATGCATACATATGCACAAAATATATGCAAAAGTAGTTATTTCTACATTTCCTATCATGTTAACATAACAGAGATTCCGTCAAGCCGTTGAAACTAGATGCCGGGCCAAAACCCTGACAAAAACGCCTTTAGGCCCCAGGCCCTAAACCCGAAGTTGCTTCGTGAAGAAACCACTAAACCCTAAACCCCTAAACCCTTTTGCCCTAAACTCGTAAACCACTAAACCTTGAAACCCTACACACTTAAACCCTAAACTCGTAAACCCTTAAACCCGTAGGCCCTAAAAACCCCTAAACTATAAAACCACAAAACATGGCTTCTCTGGCTGCCTGGACGGTCGGCTTTCCGACGGTCTGTCGCAGGAGCCGCTCCTGGGATCTGGGCTTTTTTAAGTGGTTTGGGCGCCCTTCAGTGAGGTTTTTACGAGTTTTGGAGGTATAGAGGTTACGGATTGGGGTTAAATTTAAGATTCTTGGAGGTAAGGGTTTGGGGCTTGAGCTTTGAAGCTGAGGGTTGCGAATTTTGAGGCTGTAAAGGAACCAGCTCCTCCCAGCGAGACCTAAGCTGTGGGCGTGTTGAAGTTCAGGGTGCGACAGTGGGAGTCTTCATAAGCTACCCATAGGCCCCATAGTAGCTCCTTTTTGGGGTTACCTTATATGAACCCCAAAAAGGAACTACTTTAGGGCCTGTGGGTACACTCAGCACCCAAGCTTAGCAATCTGAGCAGATGCCCGTAACCACCCTAAACCCGTGGGTCCCTGGGACCCTTCCCCTCCCTGGGGTTTAGGGCTTAGGGGTTCAGGGTTCAGGGCTTTAGGGCTTTAGTGGTTTAGGGGTTTGGGGGTTTAGGGTGTAGGGTTTAGGGTCTAGGGGTTTAGGGGTTTAGGGGTTCAGGGCTTTAGGGTTTAGGGGTTTAGGGTTTAGGGGTCCATCATCTTCCCCCAAAGCCACCATGCGGCTACATTCTCCCAAAGCCAGCACCACGCCACTTCGTGCTCTGAGCTCCACTCCCGGGGCACCTCCAGCGGAATTCGACATGCTGTAAACAGGGGGTAGGGTTGCGGCTTCAGGGCCTTGTGCTTGGGAGCACGCTTTCTAGAAGTTACCTGGAACTCTGAACCCTGAAACCCTGAACCCTGAACCCCCGAACCCCCGAAACCCGGAACCCCCGAAACCCTGAAAACACGAAACCCTGAAACCCCCGAACCCCTGAAACCCCGAAAACCCGGAACCCCGAAACCCTGAACCCCGGAAACCCCGAAACCCTGAACCCCTGAAACCCCGAAAACCCGAAACTCTGAACCCCTGAAACCCCTGAAACCCCGAAACCCCCGAAACCCCGAAACCCCCTGAACCCCTGAAGCCCTTTAGTGGCGTTCATTGGGGGATCTCAGTCACGAGGAGAGGGCTGAAGGACGACCGGGAGCTTCTAACATAAATTGGTCGAGGGCGTTAGGGCTTTAGGGCTTTAGGGCTTTAGGGCTTAGGGTTTAGGGCTTAGGGCTTAAGGCTTAGGGTTTAGGGTTTAGGGTTTAGGGCTTGGGGCTTTAGGGCTTTAGGGCTTTAGGGCTTACTTAGAGGATCATGGGACTTAGTAAGTAAGGTTATAAGTCCCTTATAAATTGGGGTTATAAGTATAGTTACCCGAATTATAACCCTACTGACTAAGTCCCATGATCCTTTCAGTAGAAGGGGACCGGCAGCTTTCGGAAGACTGGTGTAGTGGTGGCAGCAGGGGGGCACTTTAAGACATGGCTTAGGGCTTAGGGTTATAGTCGGCTTTTTTCTGCCTGTTCCAACGCCCTTAAATCTGCGTGTTTCAGTCTGCAGGGTTGAAGTCCCTATGCTTTGCAGTTTCAGCTGGATCCAGGCCGACCGCGAGAATATACAGGAGACATGCGTCTGGGTCCGAAATCTTTATCTAGTGGATACTGTTAAGACCCAACATATCTGCTTTTTCGGTATTTAGACCCTGAGCCCTAAACCCGTTTGTATTCCTCGTTTCTCATTTGCGGCGGCCGACTAGCGAGCGGAGCGCTGCCAGCATCACGGCTTTGAACTCGTTGAGATAGATCTTCTGTCCCTTGTGCCTTGTTCGGCGTGTGTGTGTGTGCACATGTGTGTGCGTTTGTTTACAAGCTTCGGGATGTAGGTAATGCTAGGTCAAAGCTTGAACATGGCTGTGACAAGCTTTGCACTGACATGCCGCCCGAGCTCAAGCAGATTTTGTGGAAAGTCAGCGTCGGCGGACGTCACACAGGAGCGTTGATCATTAGAATAGGGCTTGCTTGGAGTGCAAACCCTAAACCCTAAACCCTAAACTAATTTCTTATGAGACCAAAAAACCGTATGAAACCAGAATTTTATAGCTACCCACCGGCCCTTCACCCCCAACGTTGTCCCCCTATGTATATCTATCTTTTTATCTAGATACTAATATTTGTATATCTATATACATATATACATATATATATACACACAAATGTATATATATATATATATATGTATATATATGTTCTGCGATGTTATTTATTTATTTTTTCAGCCCGGTGGCTTCGCCAGCCGCAGTGCCAGGATATCGCACTCCTCTTATGCTGAAGCCGACGGAAAGGTCGAGGATTCAGAATTCAAGTTTAGGAATTAGATTCACCGGGTTTAGGTTTTAGGGTTCAGAGTTTCAGGCTTAGATTCAGGGTTTAGGGCTTTAGATTCAGGGTTTAGGGCTTCGAATTTAAATTCAGGGTTTAGGGTTTAGGGCTTAGATTCAGGGTAGGGGTGGGAGCTCGAGGGCTAAGGGCTTAGGCTTAGGGTTCAGGATGGCTTTGGGGTTTGGGGTGTGCGTGGAGAGGTTTCCTAAGTAGGAGCTCTAAACCTTGTGAGATTGAATTGAAATCCCGAAACTCAAAGTATTACCGAACTCGGCGCCATGGGGTCAACAAGCTGTCATACTACAGAAGCGCAGCAGCGTGGTATTGGTGTTCCAGAGAGAAGCATCTGCCCAGGGCTTCGGAAGCATCCCTTAACTACCAGTGCGGATTCTGTTGAATAAAAAAGAGGGAGACAAGTGGTCCCCTGTTGTCCCTATACGATGAATCATAAGATAGGATACCTTAACACAATATTTTCAGTATGCTTATAAGTATTGCTGCAGCCGATATCATATCCGACTCGAGGCGCGTGGTTTTGCCGCCAAAGCTACACTTCTGTTTGCCTCCTGCGCGTCCAGCACTCCAGCCTCAAGCCGCCCGAACCTTATCACCCAGAAGCCGTATCGCGATGTTCAATTTCGATGCTTCTAAACATAAGCTCTCACTACAAGCCTTGTGCCCTGAATGTGAAGCCCTTCAAGAAGACTCCTCTTGCAAGCGGTAGGAGTTGGCAACCTCTGCACACAGGCTTTGCATGGAGGAAATGGGCAGGCATCGAAAGTCAAGTAGTTGGAGGTTCAGCTGGTCTGCAAAAAAGGCCTCGGGCTGTGCAATCCTCCATTCATCTGTCCTCCATTCATCTGAGCATAGGTAAAGAAACGCTTTCTCATCGGGAATGAGCCACTACTGCCAGTTTGACACAGACCTCTCATCCCAGGACAGCACGGCGCACGCGAAGACGCTTGCGACTTCATTTTGGAGGCTGAAAATGCAGAGTGGACGCTGCAGAACAGCTAGAGCCCTAAATCCTAAACCCGCAAGGAAACCCTAAACCCTAAACCCTAAACCCTAACTCCTAAACCCGCAAGGAAACCCTAAACCCTAAACCCTAAACCCTCTAAATCCTAAACCAAGGAAACCCTGGACTGCTCAGGATCTAGACGGGGAGAAACCCTAAGATCTGAATCCTAGGAGTCATTCGTGTGTCGGGCGTGTAAGCTTCGATTCCTTTTGCTCGCCAACGACCCTTTCGAATCTGTACCTATTCGTCCTCCTTTCGTTTCCGAATCAATATCAAATGTTCTATACCCGGGTGCTTCAAGCTCTGAGTTCAAGAGATCGAACTAGAGCATGGGTTTGGAGATCAGCGGATGGGATTCCTAAGGAATGCATGCTTTCGGGGCCTTACACCCAGCCATTGGAACAGGGCGTTGGAGTAGGCTATGCCATAAATCTTGCGGTACTCAACACTGCAAGGACCGAGAAACTGGAGCTCTACAACCGAAGCCATGACTTCGCTCTCTCCAGCAGCTCGAGAAGGGCTTTGGAGTATATTGTACGAGAGTTACAAAAAGACAATAAGGGGCTGAGGGGATACTACCACTAATGTTCAGGCTCACCATGGTTATGAATGCTCTTATTATCCTTGAAGCCCAGTACCCTGGCCCAAAAAAGTTTAAACTTTTCTTTTAGTAGGGGGTTTAATATACCAAAAAGTTTAAAGTTTACCTACTGGGCTCCTAAGTTATACAGACCCCGTTACTCGCAGCGCAGATCCATCAGCCAAACCAGGGCGGGCTGCGTTGCTGACGATGGCACCGAACTGCTCCAGGACCATCTGCATCCAGGTACCTCAGAGGAGCTTGACCCCTAAACCCTATACCCTAAGCCCTAAACCCTAAACCCTAAACCTTAAACCCTAAACCCTAACCGCTAAACCCTAGACCCTAAACCCTAAACCCTGAACCCTAAAGGTGCCTCAGAGGAGCTTGGGATGCCCGAGGCCTAAGGAAGACTACGAGCCTGGGGTTCCGGCTGATCACGGGTTAGGGTTTAGGGTTCAGGGTTTAGGGTTTAGGGGTTTAGGGTTTAGGGTTCAGGGGTTTAGGGGTTTAGGCTTTAGGGGTTTAGGGAGCAAGGGCCGGCAGCGCTTGTGTGTGGTCAGTTCGGTGGCATGCAACCTGAAAAAGCCAACCCTCACAGATCCCCATAGAACCCTATATGGATCTCCCTAAACCCTAAGCCCCAAACCCGTTGAACCCTGAACAGAAGGAACCTTCCGGCTTAGTCTGGCGGCTTGCGCTGAAGCCCATGACCGCAGCATTGAAGAGGAACCTCGTCTCTCAGCATCTGATGTCTTTTTCAGCGCCCCTTTTCCTGCATCTTCTTTAGTGTGTAGGGTTTAAGGTTATAGATGTGCTTTTCTCTCTCCGCGGCCTGTTTATAGGTTTAGGGTTGCAGAATTGGTTCGCCTTTTTCGGCAGAGGGAGGGTTACCCACAGGACATGGAATAGCAATAATCGCAAGATACCCACGAACAAAAAGACCGACTGACCCTCAACCCAAGAAGCCCTGAAGTTTATGGGAGCAGGGGCCGTCTTGACAGTAAGTCTGGCGGAATGCACTGCATCAACAAATCATCTGTGCGAACCATCCGTCCCTAAATCCTACTAAACACTCTCAGATTGGAATAGGATGCTGGGATAAAAGCACAAGCAGCTTGTATGGGACTCAAGCGAGATGCTATCAGCCTTGTGGCATATTCTACAAGATCAACATCCGAACTCTCTACGACCTACTTCTGATTCCGTCTGAACCCTAAGCCCTGAGCTTTCCCGAACCGGCCTGAATAATGACCCAGATAGTACTGCAAGAATAATATACCTTCAGACCCTAGTCCAACTATAACGGCCGTTGTTTCAATCCTCAACAGCTGTCTTCGTCTTGGACTGATCCTGACTCTTGCAGACGCGCTGCATTTCATTGAAGGTAGTTGGCACCTGGATCGAGGTTCAAAAAGGAAGGGCATGGGTTCGGTCGCTGTGTCTCTCCGACTCTACTCCGTCTCCGTCTCCCTCTAGACTCTAGCTCCAATCTATATCTCCCTATCTCTATCTCTCTCTATCTCTCTCTCTCTCTCTCTCTCTCTCTCTCTCTCGCTCTCATGGGGAACTTGCTCGCTCTCTGTTTCGCAATCTGTTTCGCTCTCTGTTTCGCTCTCTCTCTCTCTCTCTCTCTCTCTCCCACACTTTGCACAACCTGATTTCCCTACGACACTGAAGCCCAAAGCCCCCCACCGAAACCCAGCTCGAGCCTTCATGCTCTCCATGGTCTTCTTTGCGTCGGAATCCCGGGCCTCTCGCTCTTCGCCATCCTTGCTCCTGGTGTCCCATTCGCTGTGGAAGTTAGAGTGTCTTCGGTTATAAGTTATAAGGTTTAGGCTTAGGGTCTCAGGGTTTAGAGTTCGGGGTCTTGCGGTTCAAGGCTTCAGGGCTGTTGGGGCTTCCTTGGGCTGAAGATCTCATAGCTTCGGACTTCTTCCTTAACCCTGAACCCCAAAGCCGCATATCAACCTACTTTGTTACGCTGTGGGATAAAGATTCATGCTAGGCGTCAGGCCGACACAGGTTACGATGCTCAGTGGCTGTCTAGGCTGAAACCCAAAACCCTAAATTCTGGACCCTAAACCCTGAGCCCGAAATCCTTAAACCCTAAACCCTAAACCTTCAACAAACAAGCATGAACGCCATCAACTAGAGGCCATTTCGGGCTGCGCTTTCGAGGGGGGGAATCGGGTTTGAAGTTTGTCGGCTCAGGGCGTAAGAGCTGTTCCTTTCCCTTTAAGGGCAGATTTCAGGGGAGCGGCTCTATCACTGTACTTAGAGGATCATGGGACATAGTAAGTAAGGTTATAGGTCCCTTAATTGGGGTTATAAGTATATTTACCCTAATTATAACTCTACTTACTAAGTCCCATGATCCTTTAAGTGGGGTCATGCTTACGGTTGTTTCCTTAAGGGGACATAGCTCCTATCCTGTCGGTTTGTTTCTGGGATCTTGCGGGATCCTGAAACGAAGGACCCATCAAAGCCGTACCACTCGTCTCAGTGGAGGATTCTCACTATTGGTCTTTGTTGGATTTTTTGCAAATCTATGGACATCAGAAGTTGCAAGGATACACATTGAGCATCCTCCTCAACCTGGTTGGCTGAGACTTTCCAGCACCGGGGGTGGAAACATCATAAACCCCCAAGACACGAACCTCTGAACAGTTCTAATCACCCCGAACCCAAAGCCAAAGCCGTGAACCCCCCTTGAATCACCCCGAACCCAAAGCCCAAAGCCGTGAACCCCCCTTGAGAAGTCCCTCCGAGTCGAAAATCCTAAGTAAAGCCAGGCAAATGCATTCAGAGGAGCCCAGAGGTATTTATGGTGGCCTGTGGCTTCAGCTACCGGGACTTTCGGTTCCTACAGCTTTTGGTGAGTGCTCGGAGTACAGGGGGGCGTCTGGGGTTGAGGGTTTAAGGCTTGAAGGTTAAACCCTAAACCCTAAACCCTAAACCAGGGTTCAGGGTTTAGGG